CATCTTCGCACGGGCAGCCCGTGCGTTGGCCAATTTTTCATTTGTTTTTGAACAGCCAAGAACGCGAAACTTAGTGTTCAGTAAACAAATTATTAGCCCCTCCCTGAGTAACGGGATGTCGAACTCCGGTGCCTTTTTTTCACTTTCCTCTCCACTTGAATGTGACATCTTCCAAGTTTCCAATTTTGTTCGTTTTGCTTTTGACACTAAATCCCTTTTTTGCTCGCACCTACTCCATCTTTCATAACTTGTAGTACTGTGCTGAATTTTGCAATTATGGGACTGAATTTTTTCATTTTTTCCTTCCCTATGTACTCGATTTTTACGTTTTTCGGGACAAAACGGCCGTTTTGCCCTCCACCCTTCAGCTAGATGAATCATAGTACGTAATTGTCATGCAAACTGTTTGATTAGGATCGGTGTCAGAGCGCATTTCTTGTTTTCAGCAGTATCTCGTCATACAGTCTGGAGGCTCCCAGTCGCGCACGAAAAGCACTACAGAACAGTATTTACGGGAACAATTGCCCAAGTGCACAAATAAATTTGTCGAACTCAAACTGCGCGGTTTGGACCAGGTACCTTCTTCATTAGCTTCAGAATTATCTATTTGTTGTAGGCTTCTCTAGTTGTGGCTGTGCAGTATAGGAGACTGATGCTCCTCCATCTAAAGACTTCACTTTTTCTTTGCGGCCGTCGTACGTCGGGCGCTGAAATGTGCTTCATGGGGTAAAACAAGCCAAAGGCAGGTATTATTCTGAGGGGAACACTACGCAGCTACCCTGGGCTCTTTTCAGAAGTTTGCTCGATGCAGTGATTTTCATTTTACTTCGGTTGTTCGATGCTGCGCGATGGCTGTTATGGCTGCTTCTTTTCGCTCGGCGTCTAATGGGTGCTACCATCGATGCGGTGGCAGCTGCTCTCTTCAGACGCTATCTCAGTGGTGTGCTGGTGGAAGCGAATTGCGTGCGCATGGTGCGATTTATTCAGGATTCTATTTTCAGTGCCGAATCTCCAGCAACAACAGATCAGGTAATGCCCTACAAAATTCAACTCCTCTTTATATTTCCCCTTCGGCAAATACTTCTTGACCATCTGCATGTCCAGTCAACATGTGTTATTATTGTTGCATAAGCAGTAACTGCGGTCCCTTGTGGTCTTCGCCCTACTTTTTAAATAATACTTCAACATATTTCGATGCTTTTATGGCAGTTTTAGGCGTTTGGTCTTGTCATCAGCCCAAAATTAATAAATGGCAACGCGCACCAGACTAGCTGGTGCGATCATGCGTTTTGTGCAATTCAGC